CATTCTCCGCTTTCATCTGTGGTGTCTTCTTTTTTTGGGAGGAGCCCGTAGCACTTGCATTACAGCCATTACCCGGATAACAGCGCGACAGCCGAGCTCCGACGAGTCAGTCAAAACTCCGAATAGTCTGTAGAGTAGACCGACGTGCCGCCGATTGGAATGTTGCATGCATTTTGCTAGCTCAACTTGAGCTGCTCAAGGATGATGACTAGCGATTGATGACACATCAACATGAGCCTTTTAACAAAAGATAGTGCATTCCCTTTTGATATGAGCATCATATGCATTGCATAAAGCGAGAATATTGCTATTTTTTTTGTTTAGTTATTCAATCTCAATACTCAAGTGAATACATCAAAATGCGTCACAATCTCTTCCCCTCAGATGGCGACATCTCAAGAGTCCACCTCATCTGAAATGACTCCTAGTGTGCGAATTCCGCCACTTGAATCTTCTCGACATCCCTTGGGGGCAATCTCACAGGAGCTGCGACATTACCGATAGTTGATAGCTTACAATCGCGACCAATCCATAGTGTACAGGTCGGCGATCTACTAGACGATACTCTTCAATGATCTCGTCACCGCCTTATATGCTAGGTCGTACTTGTAGCTAGTACAACAAGTTCTGAGCATAATCGTAGTCTCAGACGAGAAGATATAACTTGCTGATTCGACCTCCGAGGCAATCTCCCAGATTGCGAGATCGAATGCTTACAATTCTCCGGCAAAGGATAGTGATCGTGATGGGCCATGAAAGCAAGCTGACTAGGCAACAGTGCTGTGCCTGCACACTATAGGGTAGGACGTAGCCACTACACTAAAACTAACGCCATCAACTTTTGGTTCTCCAATCAGAACGAAGATTCATAAACCATCGTGACGATCCTCATTTCTCGCTCCAGGGTTAATCACTGAATAACGCAGCTTTGCACGCAGGGGGCGTAGACCAAACTAACTTGGGCAGCACAATCTCTTACACGGTCTGTTTTCGATGATTCACTTGTCTACTCCGCTAAATTCCAATCCCGGTCCTACGTAGTCTAGTCCGAGCTTCCCCTCTATCTCGACTGTTTATCAAATGAACTCAAGTTGACGACTGTTGCTTATGAGTGGCTCTGCCAATTTGCGATCTTTCACGATTTGCTCACGGCGGGTAACCGTACTCTAACTCTTACGGGGCCGATGCCCTGAACTTTCACGTAGACGATGCAGGGTGGCTCAAGTAAGGTGCCGCCAGACCGTGAGATATTTCACCTGAAATATTACTGAATTTTTCAGAATTTTTCTGAAAAATTTGAAATATTTCTCAATTTTGTTCAAAACTACGGTTTGGGTGACATTCAACTCCTCCACGTCACAGCTACACCGTCTGCAGTAATGAGCCTGTCCCGTTGGCGGACGTGAAAAATAAGGCTTGACTGAATTGCTAATGCTGATGCGATACATCACTGATGGGATAAAATTTGTTATTAAATTTAATTTTTTATGAGCATTCCATTTGAGTCTCGAGCATGTACGGAATAACTTTGTTGACTTGTATGTGAGGCCATAGATATAGTAGTGAGTAATCAGTATTCTCACATCTAGTAACTACATATGGCTCAAGTGCCGAGGTTCTCACGTGAAGCACGCTGGAGCACCAGCAGCCTTGAGCATGGTATAAGATCCCGGCTGCAACATCGTGAGTCCCGATTCGTGACAGTCTGGCTCTGTGGGAGAGCTTCACGCTGTGGGTTTCACACATTCTAGCAGCCATTGCGAGATATGCCTGCTACTAGACAAGCAATACAATCGTCCGCAGTCCGAAAGTTTCATTCGCTCATCAGTGACATACGGTGTGTCCCAATGGGACAGTGACTGTCCTATTTGAAATAGTGTGTGATGGGACTGTTCGACTGAGGCCCACAGAATAACAACGTGGCAGAAAGGCTTTCTAATGACGGATATTAGCGGTTTTGGAATGAAGGCGGTTTTCGCGAGCCATCTACAGTCCAAGCAGCTTGAGAATCGCCAGACTGGAGAGTCTCCAGTGGAGACCCCAGTGAAGATGTACTTCCGACGATGTATCACACTTTGTCAATGGAGTGTGTTGATGTAGCGTATTACCGTCTAGACTTTACCAAAACATACGTCATTTCCCACACCCAAACGCGGTCCATATGAGCTGAGCAAAACCAATAGATATCGTGATTAATGGACAACATGCCCGATCATAGTTGGCTCATAACGATCGAGCCATATATTGAATTCGGGTCATCTACAACACATCAACATGAGGGATAATGGTCCCGATAAGTGAAGCATGTGCGACCAGACGTACCGAATCTGGAGTTCCTCACCCGAGAGCGTGAGTTCGAAGACATCACAGAACGCATCATGTCTATGATTTGCTGTATCACTTATAGGCGAAGACCTTGGAACCCAATTTATTGAGTTAACCTTCTATTTCCTACGAAACTGCTCGTGAGATACTTGAGATACGTGAACGGAGAGCTCGCTTTCCGTTCACCCAGGCCTGGCACTACAAGTGAACACAATTCGTTGATATCAATCGAACCAGAAAGGGTGGCCTCACTAAAAATCGACTTCAATACTCAGCAAATAACGACAATGGAACGAACAATCGCAAGCCTATCATAGACTAACACTTCTCGCTGAAAAGTATCTACGAGCTGGGCTCGGGTAATGAAAAATGCCTTTCAAACAAAGGCGCTGGAAGCGAGGCTAGCAAAATAGACATTCTAAGGCCTGAACGCTTTGGGTCGCAGGTCAGCCCCATATTCGAAGCACTATCCCTCATTATAGCGCGCGTAGATGAGATAAGCATC